AAGGGGGCATCCGCTTCCAGCGGTGTTCGGTAGTTTAAAGTGTCCGTTTTTAGTTCCATACAATTTGTACCGAACACCGCTATGCTTTCGTGTGTCCCAAAATGGCCGCTGCCTCGTGGTCGACATGCGAACGACGACCACCCGTACGAATGGAATGGAGAGGTGTCTGCGGTTAACCACAACGTTCTAATTGGGGCCAAGAGGTTAACCAGCAGCACACTCCTCTCCTGGGTGGTCGTTCGTTCGGTAGTCCTTACACGAACGGGGCATATCCAGCGAAACAAAGGGAAACAGATGAACCAGGACGGCTATCTGGGTAAAAGTCCACACGAATGCATAAAAACTCCCGAACGACTGGTGTTCGCATGCCTTGCCGAAATAGAAGGGGGCATCCGCTTCCAGCGGTGTTCGGTAGTTTAAAGTGTCCGTTTTTAGTTCCATACAATTTGTACCGAACACCGCTATGCTTTCGTGTGTCCCAAAATGGCCGCTGCCTCGTGGTCGACATGCGAACGACGACCACCCGTACGAATGGAATGGAGAGGTGTCTGCGGTTAACCACAACGTTCTAATTGGGGCCAAGAGGTTAACCAGCAGCACACTCCTCTCCTGGGTGGTCGTTCGTTCGGTAGTTTGTAAATTACACGAACGGGGTATACATACAGGAAATCCAGCGAAACAAAGGGAAACAGATGAACCAGCAATACAGATGAATCTGTCACAATACCGAGTATCTGTACATTAATAAGGAAGGCACTGCCTGTATAATAATACCGAGTATCTGTACATTAATAAGGAAGGCACTGCCTGTATAATAATACCGAGTATCTGTACATTAATAAGGAAGGCACTGCCTGTATAATAATACCGAGTATCTATACATTAATAAGGATACACTGCCTGTATAATAATACTGAGTATCTGTACATTAATAAGGAAGGCACTGCCTGTATAATAATACCGAGTATCTATACATTAATAAGGATACACTACCTGTATAATAATACCGAGTATCTGTACATTAATAAGGATACACTGCCTGTATAATAATACCGAGTATCTGTACATTGGTAAGGAAGGCACTGCCTGTATAATAATACCGAGTATCTGTACATTAATAAGGAAGGCACTGCCTGTATAATAATACCGAGTATCTATACATTAATAAGGATACACTGCCTGTATAATAATACCGAGTATCTATACATTAATAAGGATACACTACCTGTATAATAATACCGTACATTAATAAGGATACACTGCCTCCGAGTATCTATACATTAATAAGGATACACTGCCTGTGTAATAATACCGAGTATCTATACATTAATAAGGATACACTGCCTGTATAATAATACCGAGTATCTATACATTAATAAGGATACACTGCCTGTATAATAATACATTAATAAGGAGTATCTATCTGTACATTAATAAGGAAGGCACTGCCTGTATAATAATACCGAGTATCTGTACATTAATAAGGAAGGCACTGCCTGTATAATAATACCGAGTATCTATACATTAATAAGGATACACTGCCTGTATAATAATACCGAGTATCTGTACATTAATAAGGATACACTGCCTGTATAATAATACCGAGTATCTGTACATTAATAAGGAAGGCACTGCCTGTATAATAATACCGAGTATCTGTACATTAATAAGGAAGGCACTGCCTGTATAATAATACCGAGTATCTATACATTAATAAGGATACACTACCTGTATAATAATACCGAGTATCTGTACATTAATAAGGATACACTAACTGTATAATAATACCGAGTATCTGTACATTAATAAGGATACACTGCCTGTGTAATAATACCGAGTATCTATACATTAATAAGGAAGGCACTGCCTGTATAATAATACCGAGTATCTATACATTAATAAGGATACACTACCTGTATAATAATTCCGAGTATCTGTACATTAATAAGGATACACTAACTGTATAATAATACCGAGTATCTGTACATTAATAAGGATACACTAACTGTATAATAATACTGAGTATCTGTACATTAGTAAGGAAGGCACTGCCTGTATAATAATACTGAGTATCTGTACATTAATAAGGAAGGCACTGCCTGTATAATAATACCGAGTATCTATACATTAATAAGGATACAC